CCTGCTTGGCTGGTGGGAATACAAGAGGCATTCTGATCATGAGCGCTCCCGAAGCCTCTTCTGGAAACGTAGCTGGGGTCTTGGGAGTTCCAGGTGGGGCAGAGACGGGGGAGCAGAGACACCCAGGGCCGGCATCTAGGGACCCTCCAATCTGGAGTTCTCTTTGCTGCCTCTGACCCAGGCTTGGGGAAGCTGGGAGTCCAGGCTGAGGTTCCCAGCCTGGGGCCATCACATGGCCACTGCCTCCGAGGTCCCAACACGATCTGGGGCATAGTCAGAGGTCCGGCTCAGGTCCCTGCTGTGGAAGGGTGAACTGTAGCCCTGACTCTCCACAGCCAGCAAAAGCTGCTTTTTTATCTGAAACTCTCCCTCTGTCTCCAGGTTTCCCCTAGAAACTCACTTCCCTCTTCAAACTATATTCTCAATGAGCTTAATTGAAGCTTCTGAAACTAAACCAGGTAGGGAAAGGCAGTAGCTGACAAACACCTGTCTCCCTCCCTGCATGAACACCCCAGACGCTGACAGCACCAAGGGGAGATGCCGGCAGCACTGGGAGGAAGTAAGTAACTCAGACAATACTCCCTCATGTTTGACGGCAGGTTGAGGTGGGGGGGGGGTGCGGCTTCCGCCAGGTGAATCCTGCATTTCAATGAGGTGAGAACTGTAGCTTTGGTTCAGAAATTCAATAGAAAGCCCCATCCATATGTATCCAATGAATGTGACTTACTGTTCTCCATTCATGTGTTTAGAAGTTAGCCTTGCCATCAACTTTCCCACCGTGGAGCTCAATATTTAAGACTGTGGGCTAAGAGAATCCCTGAAGAGGCCCAGCTGTAGAAACAGACGACCCCTAGAGCACATGGGCTATGAAATGGCTTTAAAAGGAAAGTCTCCAGGAGTCATTAGTCCTTTATTCAACCTAGTCTAGGAGTAGCTGGAAACCTGGATGAATCTGAGTAATTCTTTCTAATAAAGCAAAAATAGAGAGATGCTTGGGCATAAAATTTAGATGGTAATGAAGCTGTCCTTTGTAGGTAAAGACGACATCGCTAACCTACCACCAGGAGACAATGGCTTTAAAGATCTTTCTAGTAAAAACAGTGAATTTGCACTAATCGGCTTCTCTTTTAGGTTTGGTTTCTAAAATCTACTTCAGCTTCTAGTTCTGGATAAGCTGGAGTAACCCCTCACCCCTATTTCCCACTGTATATAATGATAAGACCTGGGCAGAGTGCCTGGAGCAGCTACTGGAGGACTTTGAAAGACAGCAGAAGCGGTCAGATAGGGTGAGACGACCAGAATTCAAAGCACCACCAAAGGGCCGGGGGTTGACCAGTTGTCCCCTCCAGTGGCCCTCACCTGAACTTGGTGCAGCGGGAAACCCAGACGCGGGCTGTGGAGACAGAGCACCTGCAGGAAAAGCTTCTAGTTGAAGCTCAAACATGAGACAGAGACAGAGAACACAAACCCCCGAGTTCCCTCTCTCCCTTCCCTCTTGCTTTCCTCATCCCCTCACATCCCTGCCCTTGGACAATCCCAGCAGCAGAGGCTGGTGACGGGGCCAGCGGAGCCCAGACTCCCAGAGAAGGGAGCTTCTGCCAGGAGCCAGCTTCATTTCACCCGACGCCAAGATGTGCAGCAAAGAGAGGGTTTACCTGCAAGACAGCAAAGCGAGGAGGCAGAGCAGAACTCAGGTCAGCCTCCCTGAGGCCCAGGGGCTGGGGTGTCGACGGGATGCAGCGGCAGGCCGGTGGGAGGCGTGGGGAGCGTGGGCGGAGGTGACGGGCAAAGGTGTGGTCCTGGCCGTTCTGCACAGGCGTAACTAAGCTACAGGCTGTGCACGACCTGAGGGTGGAGTTTTCCGCCCTCTGACGTCAAAAGGTCACAGAGCAGACGCTGGTGCATGCCCTGTTCAGTCTAAACTAGCTCAGCTCCAACCAGACACAGCTGACTTCAAACTCCTGGAAAGTAACTCGGGCAAACATTGTGCTGTTTAGGCTCCGAGCTGTTGGGAGGATGTGCATTGTGAAGACCTTGATTAGTGAAGGCGGGTGACATGGATTTGACTAATAATTACCCAGGATTTCACCTTACTCTACGTTCACGGAGATGTGGTCCTCAAAGGAGGGGCCAACCAAGGTTTTTCCCCTCTCTCTGTCCTCCCACCACTTGGGTCCAGACGCAGATCTGGTCACAGAAGTGTCCATCAGACTGCTGTGACCAGAGCCTTGAGCTTTGGGACAGGGGACCTGCAGGGGAGCAGCAGGGAGAGGGATGAGCTCAGGCAAGTGGCTCCTTAAGAGGAACGTTCTCCAAAGGATTTGAACAAAACCCAGTCTCACCGCACACTGTGAAACATCCAGGACACAGTCCAGAGCTATTTAGGATATGAAGAATCCCGAAAAGCTCAGCTCTCATGATCATCCAATGAGCAATTACAAGTGTTCTTGGAATATAAATGGAAATAAAAAGTCTCAGTAAAGAAACAGAGGATATTTTTTAAATTGAAATTTTAGAAATGAAAAAATTACAGTAATTGAAATAAAATTTCGCTGGGTGAACTCAACGGCAGAGTGGAGATGACAGAGGCTGGAGGTAGTGAACTGAAGGTAGGTCCATAGAAATAATCCAGTCTGAACGATGGGCAAAACAAAAGATCGACAAGGATGAACACAGCCTCAGGAACCTGTGGGGTAGTAAGTACAGGTTTGACATCCACGTCCTCAGAGTCTCAGAAGGGAAGGAAAAAGAGGCCAGTGCTAGAAAAAATGTGAAGAAACAGTGGTTGAGAATTTCCCAATTTTAGAGAAAGACAAACATCTACAGAGTCAAGAAGTGAAGTGAGCCCCAAACAGGATTAATTTAAAGGGATTCAGACACATCACAATTAAAGGAAAAAAACCCTAGAAAGCTAAAAATAAGAAAACATATTGAAAGTAGCTAAGAAAACCAACAACAAAATAATGCATCACCTATAGAGGAAGGAGGATTTGAATGATTGCAGATTTCTCATTAAGGAAAGAGGGAAGCCACGGAGAAGGCCCAGCGTTTCTAAGGTGCACTGCTGAGCCCATGACATACGTGGATATGATGCATTTAATAGCACCAGCATGAAGGCGGCAGCGGGGACCATGCTGCATGGGGTAAGGAAATGACACCAGGTGGAAGCTTGAAACCAAGAAGGAAGGAAGAGAATCAGGAGTGGTAAGTAGACAGACTATGATCACAGACTCCATAAACATACTCCTTATTTATTCTCTAAGTGTCTATAAAAGACATACTATTATATAGAGTAAAAATTATGACAACACTTTGTTGCATCTGTAACACACATAGACGTGTATGTGCAATAATAATGGCACAAAAAGAGGGGAGAGGGGCTAGCACGACATGAGAGTAACATTTCTTATCTCGCTGGAATTGTCAGTATAATCTGAAGTTGATCCTGTTTGGTTAAGAAGTAAGCCCAAGAGAAACCAACAAGAGAATAACTTAAAAAATTAGGTAAAATTTTCTCAAAGGAATTAAAGTATTATTTTCAAAAATATTCACTTAATGCAGAAAAAAGGGGGGAGGAGGAAAGGGGTTCAGTGGAACACAGATACATGAGATACATAGAAAACAAAAATCAAAATGGCAGCTGTCTCTCCAACCGTATCAACAATACTGCTGACTGTTAACAGATGAAGAAATTCAATCAAAAGGCAGAGCTTGTCAGACGAGATCTGACGCCCCCGACGATCTTCTCTGCAGGAGAGTTACTCCAATTCAAAGATATGAGTAGGAGGGAAAACAAAAGGATAGAAACAGCAATGCCGTGCAAACAGCATGCACAAGGGCTGGAGGGGCTATCCTAACACACAGACAGACCTGAAAACCAGAAATGTTACTAAAGATGAAGAGGAACATTTTATAATGATAAAATGATTGCTCCATTAGAAAGGTACATAAAATTCCAAACACACATGCATGTAGCAAAAGAGAGTGTCCTGAAAACGTATGAAGCAAAAAATGACAGAACTGAAAGGAGAAAATAGGTAATTCACCAAAAACAGCTGGCGATTTCAATGCCCTGCTTTCAAAAGTGGATGGAACAACTGGTCAGAAGATCAAGGACACATGAGACTTAAAAACCCCACGATGCAACAAGACTGGACAGATACCCACAGAACACTGCCCCCTGTGGCAGCAGAAAAGACATTCTTCCCGAGTGCGCACAGAGCCGTATCCAGGACAGACCCTATTCCAGGCTCTGAAACACCCCTCAATACGTTTAAAAGCTGAAATCATACAGAGTGCACTTCCCAGCAGCAACAGAGGTAAATCAGAATCAACAGCAGAGGAGAATCTGGGGAGCTCACAAAGACATGGAAACGAAACCATACTCCTCAATGACCAACGGGTGAAAGAAGAAATGACAAGCAAAGCTGGGAACTACTCTAACATGAATGAGAACAAAGACATGGCCCACCAAAATGTACGAAATGCAGCTAAAGCAGTGCTTGAGGAAAATCCACAGTAGAGGGGAAAAGAGGAAGAGAGATTCAAATCAATCACTGACTCTTCCACCTTAAGAAACAAGAAAAAGAAAAACAAAGCAAGTAGAAAAAAAGGAACTATAAAGATTAGAGCAGAAATATGATAAAGGATAGAAAATCAGCACAGATTATCAATGGAACAAAAGTGGGTTCTTGAAAAAGATCAACAAAACTGACACTTTAGCAAGACTGACCAAGAAAAAAAGAAAAGTCAAATTACTAAAACCAGGAATGAAGAAGGAGAGGGTACAATCAGTTACCTCACAGAAATAAAGAAGCTCACAGGGAACACTATGAACAGTTACACAGACAGCCTCGTTAACAGCCGGAACAGACAACTGCCTAGGAAGACACAGACTACCAGAACTGGCTCAGGAAGGAACAAAATCTGAACAGACCAGTAACAAGAAAAGAGCCTGAATTAAAAATAAAAACACCGTTGTATAATGTCGTACTGGCATCAGGACAGACATGTAACTCGATGGAACAGCACTGAGAGTCTGGAGGTAAACCCTTGCATGTGCGGCCAGCTGACATTTGAAAAGCACGCCAAGGCAACCCAATGGGAGGTCACGGTCTTCTTAGGAAACAGCGCCGAGAACTAAAGAAACACGTGCAAAAGAACACAGTGGGCCCCTTTCTCACATCACACATGCACAGTAACTCAAGTGGACTATAAACCTAAGCTAAGAGCTGAAACTATACAACTCTCCGAAGAAGACATGGGGACAACTCATGACCTCTGGTTACGCAGTGGCTCTTAGGTACGACGCCCAAAGCCCAAGCAACAAAAAGGAACAGCCGTACATCTGACGTCGTCAGAATTAAACCCTTTTGTGCTTTACATGAAACCATCGAGAAAGTGGAAGACAACCCAAAAGCTGAGAGAGAATCCTGATGAATCTGTACCGGAAAAAGAACCTGTATCCCACATACTACAAAAAAAAAAAAAACCAAAAAAAAACCCTTTACAACTCAGTGATGATGTTTTTTTAAAATACAACACAATTTGAAAAAATGCACAAAGACTCTGAACAAACATTTCTCCAAGGAAAATATATAAATGGCCAGAAAAACGCAAGACAGGATGCTCAGTCAGCATTGCTACCATCAGGGAAGCGTGGCTCAGACCCACACGAGAGGCCGTCTCCCACTCTCCGAGATGGCTACCATCAAAAGACAACAGAAGGTTGGTGAAGATGCAGAGAGATCGGAACCTTCATGCATTGCTGGTGGAACGCAGAACAGTCCAGCCACTCTGGAAGACGCTCTGGCAGCCCCTCCAAGTGTTAAACGCACGATTTTCACACAGCTCAGCAGCTGTACTGCTAGATACGTACCCAGGAGAAAGGAAAACACAAAAACCAGTACGTAAGTGCTAATGGCAGCATGATCTCTAACAGCCAAAAAGCCAAAACAACCCAAATGCACACCAACAGATGATATGTTAACTACCGTGTGCTAGACTCATGCAATGGGGTCTTTTTCCGCAGTAGAATGGAATGAATTACCAAAGCTACAGTATGGATGAATCTTCAAAACATTACGACAGATGAAAGAAGCCAGTCACAAAATACCACATACTGTGATTTCACTTCTGTGAATGCCCAGGACAGACAGATTCATAGAATCAGCAAGCAGGTGAGTGTCTGCCTAGGGCTGGGGAGGGAGGGCAACAGGAAGCGACTGCTGACGGGGCCCGTGGTGTTTTTTGGGGGGGATGAAACTATTCCAAAAATCAATTTGTCGATGGTTGCAAACCTGTGTGAATGTACTAAAAACCACTGAACTGTGCACTTTAAGTGGTGAATTACATGGTACATGAATTGTATCTCAGTAAAGCTGCTTCTCAAAAGAAGGATCAGCACATGACTTTGGCTGCTTCACGTGCTCTCTTTACTGCTGCCATCTCGGACACGGGAGTTTGTGTTCTAAGATCGTGATATCCTGGGTAAGTTCTTACTGGTCCGCTCATAATTGCAGCATGTGTAATGGTAGCCCAACATACTTACCGCCGTGGAAGCCTCCATTAATGTCAGCGAGAGCCAGCAGGTCTATGACCCGCCCATCTTCAAGCCCCAAATGACCCCAAACCCTACCCTGGTTAGACGTGCCACCCCTAGAGATGACCATGAGGACGGACGCCTGCTGAAGGATGGAAGTCACATCACGGGGCTATCATGGTGCACAACTCCAGGGGGCACTGTTCACAGTGTGATCCATGTAGAGGGTGACCTCTTGTGTGGATCATTCCCCCGGGAGACTGCAAGGCATGGAAACTC